TCTGATTGTCATGCTTGGCCATTGACACAATCCCCCTACTGAGTTCTGGAGAATGACTGTAGACTACCCCAAGCTCATGTAGTCCTGATTGCAGCTGCAGCACCACTTGAAAGAACAGATTTATGTGGCTTCCAGTAGATGTGATGTGGCTCTTGATTTGGGACATAACTTCTTTCCTATCCCAATCAGAAGTTGTCAAAATCAGTTTGAATCCACACAAAAGAGAGCATAATATTCACTAGCAGTCATCCTCAGGGCTGTATAACTCTCCTGTCCCATTATAATGGACACCCCACAGAACTTCACAATGATTAATTACATCAGTGCTGTCACCTAGCTTGGAAAGGAAGAACAAGAGATGAATGGTATATGGCTCTATAAGACATGTGCACTCCCACAAGAGAGCAGATACAACCTAAGATTTGGGGGGACAAAGCAAAACTTGTGCACTTTTCACTCTTACTGTCACCTTCCTGGAGATGTTGATCTGCAACAAATCACAACTGCATCATCTGGATTTTAAAAGAGAATAACTTTTAACAGACAACTTTTAAGAAATCTGATATCCAAAACTAAGCAAAAAATTGAAATCATTTCACAGAACACTTATATAAAATTTCTCATTTAATTCTTAAGTATGTGGTTGTTTTTTATTATAAAACCATTAAGCAAAGATAAAACTACTAGATTGGATAAACCATATTACATGAAACCCATTTTGACCTTTTTTACAACTTCATCTCCATAAAATAAAAAGAACATTTTGTCAATTAATAGGTATTTCCATTTCCATTTCCAAATGGAGGGAATAAAATATAAATCATACCAGAAAGTACAAGTTAACAGATGATAAATTGATTAGATTGAATACTACCAGAAAGTCTGGGGACTTGTCCAGCTTTTACATTTACTAGGATCCCCTAGGATAAAGGGCACAAGAACCTTACACTAAATAACCATACAGATCCTCTTCATTCAGTACAAAAGATCGCACAGATCCCTGCATATTTGAATTCGAAATTTATATAAGGGTATTTCTTACAGTAAATCCCAAAGGTTAATCATAAAGTCTTCTGAGAAGATGGCAATAGCCTTCCAGTTTAATTAGGACCTTATCAGGACTACCACATATTCCTACCATCTGTTTTGGATGTCATACTTTAGTAAAATATGATCATTATCCCAGAGATAATTCTAAGAGGGGTGAATTCATTTCCTAATAAGATAAACTGACTTCAAGTGAGAACACTGATGGTCTTACAAGTTCACCCAGAAAAGTGTACCACCTGAGGGATGACACAGTTGAAATTACAAATTAGAAGGATATTTGTAAATTTATTATATTACCAATTTTATTATAGTACCAATATTCAGCTGGTGTAGCTGTCAAGGTCCATCTCTTGTGCATTATGGAGATCAGCTGAACTTCTCACTGCAAATGGAAATTCTCTGAAGCTTCTGCTTGGCAGCTACCTTAGCCAGCCCCTGGGACAGAGAATAACTCTGTCCTGGCAAAAGGGCCTCAACTAAACAACTACCATTCGCCTTTCCACACTTGGTAGTTTCTGTCTTGTGATTAATAGAAAAAGATAGCATGAATCTAAGTAGAGAAGAAATGAGATATGTTCACATAATAGTGGAACTTCAAAGCATCCCCACCCCATACTACCAATAACAACATCACCCAACAAATGTTGAAATGAGTGTTCTCTAACAGTACTGCTTTCAGGGAGGAAATGCCTTAGCAAAGAGATTACAAATTAAGACAGCAATAGAGACCAGGATTTGTAAAGAGTTGTTTTTTATTAGCAACTCGAGGCATAGTGATATATTCACCTTAACATCCTTCTTTACCTGATTATCTTTCATCCTATGAGTTCACTTTAGCAGTTGTACCTTAGGAAAAGCTTTCCCTATTCTTCAACATCCTCCCTAAACCCTGACTTAGTGTTACTTCAGGGTGCTGTCATAGTACATATGATTGCATTTCTTATCTTCTGTTGTAATTGACTTTTTTACTGAAGTTTAAATAACATAAAATTTGCCCTTTTGAGGTATACAATTCAATGGTTTTTAGTATATTTATAAAGTTAAACAATCATCAATAATATCTAATTACAGATTTTATCACCCTCAAAAGAAACCCCATATACAATAGCATCATTCTAACCCCCCTTACTTCCCACCCTTGGTAACCATGAAACTACTTGCATTTATGAATTTACTTCCTTAGGACATTTTATATAAATGAAATCTAGCTCCTTTCACTTAACCTACTGTTTTCAAAGTTTATACACAGTATAGCATATAATAGTACTTCATGCCTTTTATGATTCCATTATATTTATATACCAGGCTTTTTATCCATCTGTCAGTTGATGCGCTTCTGAGATGTTTTCACATTTTTGCTCCTATGAATAATGCTGCTATGAACACTCAGGTTTGAGTACTTAAGTGAACCCTTTGGTACATTCTTAGGTGAATTCTTCTGTACATTCTTGAAATTTCTGGGTCATATGGTAACTCTTTTTTTAGCTTTTCGAATAACTGCAAAACAGTTTTCCATTTCCCATTCCCACCAACAATATAATTTCCCTTACTTATCCAGCACTCAAACTTCTTAGGGCAGAATCGTGTTCTATTGTATCCCCACAACCTAGCTAGCATAATCCCAATGCACTATGTGAATAATAGAATAAAACCTAACTTTTTTTACCTTTTGTCTTCTTCTGAGACCTCCACTCATTAAAATATCTCCCTCCAGTATTGTTAGCTTTCCTCCCTCCAGATTCTCTTATAAAGCTGCTGGAAGGAACATACTTCTGGATACTAGCACTTCTTGAAATGTGTGCTCTGTGATTACGAAAAGATTGTGATCTACTTGAAGTTTCTCATATGAAGTTAATGGAAGGTAATCTGGGAGTAGAATAAAGTGTTTCTGAGTTGGTATCAATACACATATAGTCAGATACCCATGCATATTTTCAGTTATCCTCCAATGAATATAAGCTCAGGACATACTTGGCTCTAGGACACCCTCTGCTGGCCATGCTTTCAACAACACTTGACAAAGAATAGCAAATGATTCCCACAGCAGACAAAAAGCAACATATGGGACCCATCCCATTGCAAAGGCAGCCAGAGAAGATCTGCAGATGAAAGAGCCTTCCGATCCTAGAAGCACTGGGTAAGGATTAGCCTCCCATGACTGGCACTTAAGTAGCCTGATGACTTCCAGCTCTGGCCAGTTAAAAAGACCATCACATAGAAGAAATACCCACTTTGATCCTTAAACACAAAATGGACTTATGACAAGGATAGAACTTATAATTTAAATATGACTGACTACTCTTGATTTAAACTGGTTATATCTCTTATAGAATCATATATGAATATACATAAATTCCAGACAAAATCACACAAAAATCTTTGCATTTCTATTCCTGACAGGCATGTATTGATCCTCACAGAAAAATAGAACTACCTCTGTTTTTCATATGAGACATATAATTATACCCATACAATCTGTATAATTTTGTTAAGAATAAAAGAGTAACTATGTTCAATAAGTTAGTAAAGTTTTATATAAATTTCCTGTGATAAGCAGAATGCTCCTTTAAGGATATCCATTCCCCAATCCTAAGAACTAAAGAGTATGTTAGATTATATGCCAAAAGATTTAATGAAAGTCTTAAACCTTAAAATGGAGAGATAATTCTGGATCATTTTAATGGGTCCAGTACATGATCCCTTAAAGATGCTTCCAATGGGGAACCTGAAGATATCTTAAGGGTAAGAGAGTCTTAAACCCACTATTGCTGAAGAGGAAGGGGAGATGGAAAGCATGAGAAGGAATGTGGGCAGCCCCTAGGAACAAAGATCAGCCCTCAAATGACAACCAGAACCACAGCTAGTAAGGAAATGGGGACCTCAGTCCTACCACTATAAGAAACTGAACTTGGCCTACCCTCTAGATAAGTGTGAAAACAGGTCAGTCTCAGAGCCTCCAGACAAGAACTCAGTCCAGCTGACAGCAGATTTCAGTCTTGTGAAATACTGAAGAGAAGATCCAGCAAAACCATAGTGTATGTATAGAACTGGGAATAAATAAATTTGCGCCATTTTAAGCCACTAACATTGTAGTGATTGTTATGGCAGCAATAGAAAACTAATACATTCTCAAATGTCAGTATGCTAAATTACAATAGTCTATGGTTCAAAAACACAATAATCACTGAAATACTTCAAATTCCACATTCCCAGGACCAATTCACATCTATCAAATGTTATCATTTATAATGAGTAAAGGGGACATTTCTAGTTATAATTACCAGGTACTTTTAAAGATGCTTTCTAAGACTAATATAATGATATCTACGTAAGTATCCGTTTCAACATTAACAACTTAATAGTTCAAATAGATGATCACCTTGTCAAGTCTTCTTGAACTTGTTTTACCAGTCTGGTGTAGTTCACATTAGGAATACCTCTCATTCATTATATACTTAATGTATGTTATTAGAGTCATGTTTATTATAATTTTTTATTAGTCACATTAACAAGACTATTATTAATATAGGTAAAAGAATCAATATTTAGAAAAATGTTGGAATATAAATGATGTCAGTGTTTACAGGCCTCAAGAGTACAAACAGTGCTAAGGCAAAAGTCACCTATATTTTTAGTATATACATGCATAAAACCAATAATATTGAGTTACTTTTTAACAGGACTTTATTGGTATGATGATCACATTTTGGTATTTATATTTCTTAAATTAGTAGCTCAAAGTTGCATGTAACTTTATTGCAAGAAGTTACAGCTCCTCCAGTTCCTGATCTGCAAAACACATGCTTTAGGGCATTCCAAGTTTAACCTGCTCCAGCCAACTTTTCTGAATTACAGCAAAGCCAAAAGGAAAAAAAAAAAAAAAGGAGAGGAGGGATTTTTCCAGAGACTCTAGAATATAACAAAATCTGGATTTGGAAATGAGCACTTACTTTTTCTGAGTTCTTTCAGCCAGCCTTGCAATCTCTATAGCTGCTTTCCTTGCTTCAAAATCTGCCCTTTTTATTATCTCTCCAGTCCCTCGGTAGCCAAGTTCCACCAGCTGTCGGGCCAGGCTTTCATCCTAAGGAGAAAATCAATTAATAGATATGTGAGCAAGTGAGATATTTTCTCCAGGGTATACCAGGAGTTGTTTTAAATGACAAATTAAATGTTTTGTCTTAAAATGAGACACAGCTATTAGATATGAAAAGCTAACTTTCTAACAATGCATTTATACACATCTGATTCCGTCTGCCCTTGACCATGTATATGAGACTAAAAAAAATGAAACAATGTTAACCACTAAATTTTCTTTAAAGGGTTGGAAGACAAAAGTCTGTAGGTCTTTAATCAATTCATGAGACCAACAGTAGACAATTAATACAGTATCTTTAAAACAATAAAATTAGAAACAATAGTGCTCATAGAAGACTAAAAATCAATTGCACAAAAAGAGAATAGGGTTGTTTTCACAACATTCAATTTTTCAGACTTACTTCCTTGAAGTCAATTAACTGATGACAGAATATTATAATTTCAAATACAGCTAAAGAGGAACAGATGAATTTCCTACTTAACTATAAAGATATTGTTTCCATATAATGTTAGTAACAATAAAAACAGTAAGTAGACACCCAAGAAGATAACCACAAAAAGCTTCAAGTTGAAAAGAAAATTTTTTCCCCATAATATTTTTAGGCCTTTTATATTTCAGTTACTTGAAGAATTATCTCATATATTTTTGTCACTTGTATGGCATATTCAAAGAGAATATTTGTTTTCCTATTATTTGAAGAGGTATCATTTTACATGAAGTTACTGCCATAAAGCATTATACATAGAAATATTTATCTAATACTCATCATCATCTTAAATAAAATATATTTAAAATAATAATTAAAGCAGAATATAGACCTTTTATTAATACATCACTATTGAATGCATAAAGTGTCTAACAAATAAATGAGACACTTAAGAGGCTTGGTTTACAATTGTATTCAACCTATAATGGCTTTTTTCAGGTTATAACTGTTAAACAAAACCAAAAAAAATAGATACTAGAAACCAGCTACTTTCCTTTATGAGCATCCACGTAGCAATGTGTGTACATTGCCAAGCTATTACAATGCGAACCACCAGACCTTTTGGCTTGTTTCTGAAATATTCTGCTTAATATGCAATATGTGTTAGTGTGAACCACAAAACTGAGCAAATGCCTCCACCTAGTGGAACTAACCTTCAACAGAAAACACAATGCAGATTGGGGTTTGCTTTACAAAAGTGAATGGTTTTCTTTATTTGAATTAATTTTTAAAATTTTCTTAAATATTTTACTAATAAGCTTATAGAAAGGATTCAGTTCATCAATACTGTAGGAGTCTTCCATGGGAATATAAATTCCTCAAATTCAATATAAAAGTTTCTGTAATAGAGACCATTAAAGTTGCTGTGTTTATTTTGTAGCTGAAATAAATTTGATATCCTTATGTGCCTTACCTGTATCACACAAACTCATTTGGATTGTTTTGTAACCAGAAGAATTAATCTCTGCTAACAAATGGGCAAAAATCTATTGAGAAAACAGGCAGAAAGTCAGCCTTGGAGGCTTTGTATACCATTATCATGCTCTAACTGGTTGAATCACTATTCATCCCTCCACCATGACAACACTTCTTGCAAGCTAGTCAAAAGCAAAACTACCAGCTCAAAAGAAGCACAATGCTTAAGATTATCCCAGGGATATGCTCCTTTGGGGCAGGGGTGGAATTTGGTTTAAAAGGGAATCTTGACTTGAAAATTCTAACCCAACTTTTTTCCCCAACCCTCAAAATAATGTCTTCTAGGAGTACGAAGAAAGTCTCATTTAATGCCAACAGTTCCCCTATTACCAGTATCAAGAAGAATTTTCTGCCTCTTATAAGGTGGATTTACTTGAAACAGAAGATAAAATCAGAAGGTTCATTGAAAGTTTTAAAATTCAGTACATTCTTTCTTCACTTTCTGTCCTGGGATTCAGAAAAACAAAATCTATGACAGAACGCTAATTGCCAGCCACCCACCTCGCAACAAAATGGGTGCTATTGGTTTCATTCTATCTTGCCCTTTTTATGAAAGTAATAAGATTATTGTAGAAAACTCTAAGGCATACTGACACAGCTCTCTGGCCACCAAGCCCACAGCTGACTTACTGTTCCCTTCCAAGAAGCAGCAGTGGATTGATGGAAAAGCAGAATGTCAGCCCTAGTGGGTTGGAGCTCTCTGGGCAAGCACCAGTGATGGCCATGTAGATGTGGCAGTCCAAAGGCTCTGGGAGTGCCTGTCACCCTTTGGCGGCTAGGCCTGGGCATGGTATAGTTACCTGCTGGGGAAGCCCAATCCACACAGCACTGCAGCCCATATCCTGCAAAAATAGACCAGCCCATAACCTCAACCTCCTACTTTGTGATCCAAGGTGAGAAAATGGAAGTGGGGAAGACCTGAAGAATGAAGTTGAGACTCTGGAGTTTCCAATAGCATTAGTACATTTCCAAACTCTAATTAGCATAAATTTGGACCCAAGTCTATGTAAGTTCCTGGACTAGCATACTCAGACAATTCCTGAACTGGCATATTGACCCCTCTTGCACTGCAAAAGTCTGTTCCCATTTCCATTCTTCAATGAATCCCACTCTTATATTTACTCATCCTGGTCTGTGGGTTTCATTCTTCCAATTCATGAGACAGTGAGGGTGAACTGTTGGGGTCTGCTGCAACACGGGAGGGCATGGCCTGCCATTAAGAGCTGCAACACCTCTTGGCTGCAGAGGCCTGCAGCCTTACACAGACCCCACCTGCCAGCAAAAGCAAAAAAAAAAAATGGAGTTATTTTATCTCAAAACTCTGGTTTCAATACTACAAACATATCACACATTGATATGTCATCCATTATCTTTCCAGAGATGATCACTGACATCTTGCGGTATCATCTTTCAATCCTTCCTCTTAATGTATGTATTGGTTATGCTAGATTTCTTTGAACAAAATCATACTGTGCAAAAATTCTCATGGCCTACTGATTTGACATTTAATAATGCATCTTGAACACCTTTTCATTCAATAACAATAAAATAAAATTTTAGCTACTACACATTTCATAGACTCTGTGTGCACAAGTATTGTGTGTAGTTCACTACTGTGGCTTTAGCTCCTTGCCTTCATCTGACAGTGAAAATGATTGAATCTTCATTTTCATTTTGTATTGTTTTAATTACCAGTGAGGTTCACCATATGTTCTTACAGATGTTATTGGTCATGTATATTTCTTCTATTTGAATTATCTGTTTTGAATTGTTAAATGAACCCTTTGGTCATTTATTCTTAATTTGTAACTACTTTGGACATATATTAAATGTATTAACTAAATGCATGCAAAATATCTGCAAATATTTTTTTCTAGGTCAATGTTTTCCTGTAACTTTATATAGCTTTGTTTATACCTAGATGTTTAGAGCATTTGAAATATATTGTGGTGCCTGATGCTTCTGTTTTTATTCAAATTTCTTTATTCCAGAAAAGACAGCTGTGACATTAATTGTTGAAGACTGCTTCCTTTCTCTGCTAACTTGAAATCATACATTTTTGTGTACTTACATCTCAAATACATGAAGGTCTGTTTCTGGATTCTGATCCCACTCTATTGACTGGTCTCTCTGCTCTCTCAACTATTACAAACGTAATACAGATACTGCTCTACCTGCCCATGGATAAAACTCCACCACAACTCTGTCTCAACATATTTCAAGTCTTACCTTCCCTGAGCTTTTTATGAGGAACCGCTTGACTCGGCAAGGTCAGAGAGTGTTAGAAAACAAGACATATTCAACTAGCATTTTATATTGATTGTGGAAATCTAGATAATTTGAAACAGCAGGCATCCTGCTATTAAAAAATATATATAACATTTTTTGAATAAACCTGTTGGAGGTAGGTTCTCTAGAAAACAGATTTGGGAATGTAGATTTATATGCAAAAGGTCTAACTGGAGAGTTTCTTGGAATTTGCCATGCTGTGAGGTTGGAAGAAGCAGGATTGGGCAGTGGGATGATTCACAGCAAGGCCTCAGCAGCTCTGGAGATGGGCTGGCCCTGCAGAGTTTTCCTAAATTGATGCAAGGTGACCAGACCAGACCTTTATAACCTCATAATAAACAGTAATTTAGATAAGAACTGCCCTAAGAAAGGGCATGACTTTGGAAAAGGTGAATGTTTTAGATGAATAGTCGTCTAATCAGTCTAGTTCGAAGTTCTTCAATTTTATTGATAGTGAGTGAAGCAACTTTTTATGTCTTTGATCATCTCATTATTTTTTCCTTTCCATTTCATTGATTTCTGCTGTTGTTTTCTTCTATTTATTTATTTGGGCTTAATTTACCCTTTTTTCTAGCCTGTCAAAGTAGACACTAAGAACATTATTAGATTTTTCTTCTTTTTCACTGTAAGTTTTTCAATCTCTAAAGTCTTCACTAGAACTCCTTAAGGTGTATCCAACAAACCTAATACATTTCATTTCCATTTTATTCAAATGAAAATCTCTTCTATTTTTCTTTTTGCAATCTCTTCTTTGATCATGAGTTATTTATAACTAAATGCTTAACACCCAAATATCTGAAAATTTTCCAGGTTTATTTCTATAACTGATTTCTATTTTTCATTATGTTATTAGAGAACAGACTTATGATTTCAATATTTTTAAATATATTTCTTTTGTTTTATGACACAGTATAGGCCCCATGTGTATTTGAAAAGAATATGCATTCTGTTGGTTTTGTGTGCACTAGTCTATAAATGCTAATTAAATCAAGGCAATTGCTAGTCCTCTCCAGGCTTTCATGTCACTGCAGATTTTCTATCTTCTAGTTTGGTCTGATCAATTACCAAAAAAAGGAACACTGACACCTCCAGTTACAATCGGGGATATAACTATTTCTTTTCATTCTTAACCAATTTTGCTTTATGCATTTTGAAGTTCTGTAGTGAAGCACATTACACTAAAGTACTGTCATTCCAAGTTTCTTTTAATATGTATTTTTATAGAATATATTTT